CCCCATCTCCACCCGCTGAGCGACTCAAGAGTCTCCTGGGAGCAAATGAAAGGAAGAGCTGGCATCTCACATGAAAGCAGAGGATGCAAAGAACAACTTAGAGAGGGACTTGGGAAAAGTACAGTCTGCAGGAAAGCTTGGAACCTGCAAACACACAGGGGAGCCTGGCTGCCAGCCAGGGGCGCGGGGCAGCAGCCCCAGCACAGCAGCCGTGGCTACAAGGAGAGGCTGTCTGCCTGCCTGCTTTGGACCTGGCACAGCAGCCAGAGCCCGCTCCCAGAGGTCTGCATCTCCCAACTGCACCATTTGCTCCACCATCAATCCTCCTGACTCCACTGCAAGACCCAAAATGTCAGCTTTTTTTTTCTTCTCCACACTCCTTAAAGCTTCAGCTCCCAAGGTCCCAACCTCAGCCCTTGCTCTTAAAAAGAACAAGTTTCTCACGTTTGTAAGCCCATGGAAAAGCTCAGCAAGGGCTGACTGTGTCAGGACTGAGAAGGCAGCAAAGAGCAAGTGCAGTGCTGTTCTAACACCAACACCTTGGTTTCCAGCAGAGACTGGCAGTACTGCACACACACCTTCACTCCCGTTGCAGTCCTACAGAAAAACCTCTTGCAAGGAACAACTGAAAGACCACAAAGCTGCAGAGGCAGGTGTCCCAAATCCTCCTAAAATGAACTATTTTTACTGCACCACGCCTCTAAGATCCTCTTGCCTGGGGAGAAGGTAAAGAGAAAATAAACCATGCACCAGGTCTTTGTCTTGCTTTAACACATGCCTGAAGGGCCCCTAGATACAGCTGCGATAGGAATTTGTATCCCAAGTAGTCTGGCTGGCTCTTCCACCTTCCAGCTCTCATAGGCTTGCATGGGGTTTTTTGGGGGGTGTTTTGTGGTTATTTTTTAAAGTATAAAAAGAAAGGTAAGCAGAGCATTAACCATCACCTTCTTTGTCTTCTTGAAAGAGACAGACACACTCCTTTCTCACCTGAAAATCAAGCCTTGGCTGTAGCAGTTAAAGTGTAGTTAGGAAAGCCCAGGGTTGCTCTGCAGGACCATGACAGCAACTCCCACCCACCACAGGGCTAGGTCAGACAGACCTACACCCCACGCAGACCTACTGAACCTGCAGATTAGGTCCCAGCCTTCGGAGCACATCAGGTCAGCAGCAGCCCAGTCAGAGGGAGGCTATACAAGGTGGGAAAATCCCACAGAGAATCCCGGAGGAGCTAGATGTCCTCAGGGAGAGCTGCCCTGCAAGGAAACATAGCAGGGGTCTGGTCCTGCTTGTTAGTGTCATACAATCACGTTGAGGACTCCTGATGAGGACAGAGTGGCCACATTCCTCTGTGAGCTGCAGCCCAGGGGGGCTCTGAGCCCCAGGGAAAGGCACTGCATGCACTGTGCCATACCCCACCGCGCTGTGCCACGCTATCCGATGGCCACCCGATCCGTGCCCGGCAGCAAACCCAGCCGTGTTGTGACATTCACAGTGATTAGCACAGGGCAAAGAGGCTGTGGCTCAGATGCTGCCACCTGCCCGGCTCGAGTTTCCCCCAGTAAACAAGCCAACCACGACTGGCTTCCAACGTGCTGCCCCCCCAGATACACACAGGTCACAAGCACACTCCAACTACAAAGCACACTGGAGAACGTAGATGGGACAAAGCAAAATAAAAATACAACGAGCTGAATGAAAGTGTCCTCAATGTCCCTGTCTAGAGAGGGCTGTCCCTGCAGCAACACCGCGCACGCTGCCAGCTTGGCCACCGCCAGCACTCTCATCGGGCTGTGAATGACCTTGCAAAACCAGGCTGCAGCGAAAGCCACCTGTGCCTCCTTTCCACCCGGATTGTAGATGGGACAAAGCAAAATAAAAATACAACGAGCTGAATGAAAGTGTCCTCAATGTCCCTGTCTAGAGAGGGCTGTCCCTGCAGCAACACCGCGCACGCTGCCAGCTTGGCCACCGCCAGCACTCTCATCGGGCTGTGAATGACCTTGCAAAACCAGGCTGCAGCGAAAGCCACCTGTGCCTCCTTTCCACCCGGATTTACAGCTATCGGTGGATCATCCTGCTATAAAAATAAAAGTGGTTTGGCCTAATGAAGCTGTAACAAGGGATGTGAATCCTACAGCCGGCTTCGCCGCAGGTGTGAGTATGCCAGCAGAAGCCCTGCGTGACCCCGCTCTGGAGTAAGTGACAACAGTGGCACAGATGTGACCAGCGCAGGCGTGGGGCTACCACCGGCAGCTGCGGCTGTCAGGATGGAGGTCTGGCCTTAGTCACCAGTACCCACTCAGCGGGGCTGGGGTCCAGCTCTGGCAGAGGGACAATGTGCTGGCCTTGCCTTCATCCGGAGCGGTTTTGCCGTGGAGCCGCAGAAGCAGCTGGGCTGGGGCAGGGGTGCACTGGAAGCAGCGGCTGCAGGGGGAAGCGGCGGGGCCTTTCCTGCAGCTCCCAAGCAAGGAGGCACCAGCTGACAGCGAGTGACCGCTGCGGCTTCCCTGTGGAGACATGGGAGCTCAGAGACAGGGGCAGGAAGGGTGAAAGGAAGAACATGCACCCCCACACAAGGTAAAATATATCCAGACCAGCTCGTATTGCCTGTCCTGTCCCCCAACCACACTCTTGTCTCACCTCCTGCGTGCCGGTACAGCCACCTCTGATGTCAACCCACATACCAGCTCCTGTCCTCACTGCAAGGACAGCTCAGTAAAGCAGATGTCAAACATCCAGAAGAACCAGTGGAGATAGAGGCACCTTCACATGCCAGGCCAGGGGCACAACAGGACAGCAGCTGCCACGTCCCTGCGCCTCTGGGCACTAATCACATCACCTGCCCCAAGGTGGGTTACCTGTCAGGGAAGTTTCCTCTTCATGCTTAACTCAGCCACAGTTTTGGGGTGGAGGAAGGTCGCAGCTCGACGCAATCTCTAGTTCTGCCAACTCGACCCTACGGCAAAGGTGCAGGAGTCCATTCTGCTGCTCGCAAAAGCAATAAAACCACACTCAGAAATTTTATTGTAGAAACGTGAGCTGGGAAAAGCCCAGGACAAACTGGCCGGACTGAAAGTCAACCCCAAACACCATTAGTAGTAATGAATGGATTTTGGCTTGGACTGGTTGACACACAACATAGAGGCCAAAGCTGTCACTGCTGGAGTGACTGTACCGCTGCACTCGCTTGCCATTATTTTGCCGGCATCTTTTATTATTGCTCGCAAGCTTTGGGACATCAGCTGGACCGTACCAAAGTCACGTCACAGGTATGCAGGGCCAACCACGCGCCCCAGTCTGTGTGCACCCCACTAAGCACCAGTGGAAGTACCTTCTTCCAGCTTGAACATCCCTGTGGCGTGTTCTCCTCTCACTGCAGCTCCTCACAGACACGTTTCTAACAGGAAAGGATAAGCCCAGGTGCTCACATCATCCCCCTGTCACACGAGTTGGGCTGGGGAGGTTATTTTAAACGCAGCCGTGGTGACACACTTAAAATAAGAAGAGCTTGCAAATGTATGAGCTGCAAGCTGACCCGATAACGTGCTGTCAGCCTCACACGAGGGAGAAGTCAGACAACTGCAATTTTGCTGTTGCTTTCTATGCCATTGCAGGGTGCAATTTCTGCTCTTTGCAATCAGAAAGGATAATATGTTTTTCTAAATGAAACTTGAGTTCACACTAAGTTTTTCAACTGCAGCTCTGGAACTTTTGATTAAAGCTCGAATAAGTGAGTTAATAACACCAGAAAATAACCACATTTTGAAACGTATACTGGTTTTAAAATAGGAGTTTGTCCCCTTCCAAAAAATTCAAAAGCTTTCAACAATATCAAGCATATTGATCCAAGAGCAACGGTCTGAGACTGCCTAAAGCTGCTCTTACACCTGGTAGCTACATAGAAACGCTTGTGTTTCAACAGGACGGAAACAACCTTCACCTACAGCAGCTCCAGGAAACAAGTGGCCTTGAGCGCAGTCACACACTGAGACAAAGCAGCACCCAAGGCCACAAGCAAGATGAGGCTGAAGAGCAGAAGGTCCTGCTGGCCATGACAAGTCCACGAAGACAAGAAAGCTCAGGGACAGCTTGCCCACCACAGAAACGCCAGTGGCACAGGGACCAACAGAGTGGCGCTCTGCCCTGCCCCACAGTTAAACGTTGCTGCTCCCTCTCAGCCCCAGTATCATCCTGCAGGACATTTTCAGTGTAAAACCAACGGCACAGGACGACGACTAACTTGCCTCCTCATCGGGACATCAAGTCAAAAAGCTTACAGTGAGAAATTACCCGTCATGGGGCGCATCAGCAAATTCCACCCACGTCCTGGGATTACATTTACGTCCAACACTGATGCTGGGGCTAATCATTTCAATTCAACAGCTGCGGCGCTGAACTCCGCTTCACACCGAACACAGAAGGCACGAGAAGTGCAAGGCTGCCTGAAATGATCCTTGAACGAAGGAGAGGACTGCGCTGCAAGATCAGAGCAGGTCCAGCTCACTCTTCCATTCCTGAGGTGGCGGGGACGGAGACAGATCTTACAGGGAGTGGGGTGCCACACGAAACCATGGAAGAGCCAGAATCCAGCCACCACATCGCTCTACACCACAGCAAACAACTCCGTCCGTGCAAACACGAGGAGGGAACTGAAGGCTCACACACTCATGTTTAGAGGGGACTTTCTCACCACTCTCAGGGCATCAGGGCACACTGTGAGAGGTGAGGGACTCCAGTGTGGTTGGTTAAGGCAGAAAATCCAGGGCTGCAGATTCGCTGTGGAGAGGGAGAGCTGGGGATATCTCAAAT